GAGCGCGAACGACCCCGCCTCTTCTCGTCCGCCGACCGTCGCTACCTCTTCTGGCGGTTGTCCAAATCCACGAGGTACGTTTGTTTTTCCTTCTTCTTTCTTTCTTATTTCTCCATCAAACGCAAGGGTCTGCGGTGGTAGCTTGGCACTAGTAATTATAAACGGCGAGTCCATTTATTTTTGCTGTTGCTGCCTGCTGCAGCTGTACGACTTCTTCTCATGTTCAGCTATCCCATCGAAAACGACCTCTCGCAAGCTGCGGGCCAAACGTTATCATTCTCATTTTCCACACTCAATAATTCTAACTTATATACACCAAGAGTCTTTCCTGAGAAACATGAAAAAAATTTCGGCTTAGAAAAAAAATAGGTTGCTGGTGATACTCTGTGATGACACTCAACAAATTCTCAAACTTTGTAGTTAGAGGCTTCCGAGTCACAGGCGGTTGTGAGACGCGTACTCTACTGGCCGAGAGGTCCGAATGCCATGTCTCGGTCATGTGACGCCGATGCCATCGGATAAACTTTCAAGACGCACTCTTTCGGCAAATCATAGGGAAACGGTCCATCTTCAAATCGCGGATCAGAGGCTCATTTATGCAAAGCACCTCACGCTGTCGCGCATCGCAATTCAGACGTCGGGACGTGTCCGGTCCGGTTTATGCAAAACCGCAATCACCGGGCCTCCGATATCACAGTGTTGTGTAGAGGACTTTGGAAATGAATGGATAATAAATATAATAAACAAATAATTACCAGAGACATGCATAAAAATAGAATATATCTGTACGCTTGCAATTTTTACATTTTCAGTGTTTTCATTGTGGGAATCTTTGTACGTCATCATCGTAATGATCACGTATCCACTGTTTCCTCTAAGTAACAGAAGTTGACGTAAGTTGGAAGAAACAGGTTACTGTGGAAGTCATGTCAGTGGGCAAAGAAGGTTATAAAATGGGATCAGATTGTGATTGATTGTTGGTACAAGTCCTCCTTGCAAAATTACTTGACTAGCGGCTCTCACTGTTGTCTTTATCAGCTATCACATGACTTAACTCACTCTTGAATCACTGTCGCGATTGCGAACTAACGGAACAGGTCGCGGGTCGGTCTTCAGAACTGGGTCTCGTTGTCTGTGTGGAAACGAAAGTTTCTTTGCCTATTGACAGACTTTACTGTAAATAATACAAATGCGCCTGTATAATCGAAATTTCATCCAAATAATATTTCAAGTGCCTTTGCAGATTTTGTTTGAGGCGATAAATTTATTCATCATTGTCAACCTCCACGATTAACTGATAGTGCAGGTGACATCGTAGCTTCAACGAGAATGCAGATGTCGTTTTCTGGTGGTCTTTTGCCATATGGGTTATTGTGTAAAGGTAAAATGACCTTGCCGATGCCCCATGACCCATCGGATGGTGCCTTACACAAAGTTATCGTGAGATCTGAACGCCTAAAGATTTCAAAACGGCTAAAGAAGTGTGATTTTACGAACACCCTTGGCAAATAGATCTTGATTTTCCCTCAGTGTTATTTCCTTTCCAGATTTCTGAAAAATCGTCATTGCCGCTGCTGTTCGAGTGTTAATTTGAACTGATCATGTTGCGATGCTGGTACCCACGTAGTTGAGGTATTTGAACATGTGACTATGTTCCGCGGCTTTAATATCAAGCCGTATTTTCTAACAGGCCCCCCCTGTTTGTGCATGCGTATCGTCTTAGTCATTTCAGTGTTCATTGGCTTGTCGAACGATGGTGCGCTCATGTTAAAATGTCGACAGTTATTTGGAAGCAAATTAGCAT